TTTTTTTTTTCCAAAAATTTTTAATGTTTATTTATTTTAGAGACAGAGAGACAGAGCACAAGTGGGGGAGGGGCAGAGAGAGAGCCAGAGACAGAATCTGAAGCAGGCTGCAGGCTCTGAGCTGTCAGCACAGAGCCCGATGCGGGGCTCAAACCCACAAACCGTGAGATCATGACCTGAGCCAAAGTCGGACACTTAACCTACTGAGCCACCCAGGCATCCTCCCAGTCAAGTCTTAATAAATATTTACTAAATTAAAATTATATAGTAGATAGGATAGGTAAGTAGAATAGAAAGGAGGTCATAATAGATGCCCAGGAAAATGTGGTAAGTTCAGGGAAGCAGGAGATATCATTAGTTGGGGAGATGAAGAAATGTTTCTTTGAGGAAGCACCGCTTGATATGGACCCTAGAAAACAGGTAAGATTTGAATAGATTGGTTTGTATACATGGTGAAATCCAGATGTAAAGAGAAGTTGAAAGAAGCAACAGGGCAGGTGCACCACATGTCATCGTATAGACATGTGTAGGTAATAGTGTAGACATTGAGGAGCTATGGGAGCAGAGCCTGGAGATTACTGGGGTCTTGAATGCCAGGCTGAGGGGTGTGTATATGGACTAGAACCACGAGGGATAATTAAAGGTGGTTTGAAAGGGGGATTGCTATGATTCATACTGTGCTTTAGCAGGATGAATTTTACAGTGGTCATAAAATGAATTAGAAAAATTCTAGAAACTGGGAGGACAGATTATTGAATAGTGTGAGGCAGTGAGTACCTGAACCAGGACACTAGCCTTATGAGCAAAGAAAGGAGTGGATTTCCGATAAAGAAGTGGAATCTGTTGGAGTTGGTCGCTAATAGGAGTTGAAAGTGAGGGGAAAGGAAGAGGTAGGATGACTGAGGGTTTGAAGATGGGTGAGTAAATATGGTAGCCAGTGAGGAATATTGAGAGCAGGGATTTAGGGAAAGATGTGAAATCCTGAGGTATTTTCCAGAATCCATTCTATACAAGGAGTTTATTCAATTTTGATTCTTCTTGGAGCTCTCTCTGCAACTTCTATGAGCTCTGGAGCAACGTCACACCGTCGCAGACTACAAGCGGGGTATTAAGGACACAGCTGAAGGATTGCTGCCAAATTTGCAGAATTCCCTTCCTGTCTTAGGTGACAGCTGGGTTTCCACTTTTCAATGGCACTATAGTCCCAAGTACAGTAGGACCATAAATATGCTTCAGCTTCGCTGAGAAAGCCTTCATTTGTCTGCGTGGTTCTGAGTTTCTGCAGCCCTGAGAATTTCTTCACTTATATGCATTTTGTTTAATACGCTTACCATTTTTGACAGTGTCAGTTTTATTTTGCAGTTAGTAATGATTTAATTCTTGTACTGCTGTCTCAAAGGGGTCCATGTCCTTGATTTGCAGTGCTTCCAGGGTGAAGCGTCTTAGCCTGTGGATTCTTCATGTTGCTGCATCACCCTTGGCACCCTTGATCCGTGTTTATAGTGGCCCTGCAGAAGTTATTTGTGTCCCAAGGATTTCATTTAGAAGTTGTGGGGTTGATCTTTGCCATACAGTTTACATTGTTGTTGACAGTAGAAGTCAATTGGCTAATGGATAATTCATAATTCAGCCCCACCCATGATTCATATCAAAATAGTGTCTCATAGCCTTTTGTGAAAGTAGTCAGAATGCATTCTGCTTTCTGAATCCTACCTCTTTAAACATGCATCTGTGAAAATTACACCCTAAAAGCAGTATTTCTTAAAGCTTATTTGACCATAGAACCCTTGAAAAGTTGTGCAAAACCCTGAGGTGGCCATGAAACATAATCATACTCAGATTGAAGCTAAAAATAAAAAAAATAGTCTCATAGATAAGTCAGTTGTAAGAAGTAGTCAACATTTGATTCGTTTTTTAAAACTTTGTGACAGAATGATATAAATGTGAGAAGTCATCTATTTTATTACTAATAAAATAACACATTCATTTATTTAAAATATAAAACAAGATCCATAACTTAAACCAGTGATTCTCAATCAGACCGCAAATACTAATGAGAGGGTATTTGCTGTCTGTAGATAGATGTTCAATCACACATCATCTCCTTCTGCATCAGCCCATCATTTGTGTAACTTTCCTGAATGTGGCACAGCATTTATTGATAATAAGATATTAAAACGTAATCATCAGAACAACTCAGGACAACTGTATAAATGTGTTTGGTATTCTTCTTCTATATGAAAACTAGGTATCCTCTAGTATCTATATTGGATTGTGTATAGTGAAGGTTTTTCAGAGAAATTGACTCAATAGGATACACATATATATGAGAAGAAGTTTATTACAGAAATTAGCTTACTGGATTATGGAGGCATAGAATTTCCACAGTCTGCCCACTGCCTGAAAGCTGGACAAGTAGGAAAGCCGGTGGTGTAATTCAGAGTCTGAAGGCCTGAGAATTGGGCAACCCGTAGTCTAAGTCTGTTGTGGGTTCGAATCCAAAAGCCTGGGAACCAAGAACTTCAATGGAGAGCAGGTGGGCAGAAGAAGGTAGATGTTTCAACTTAAGTAGAAAGGATGAATTTGTCCTTCCTCTGCCTCTTTGTTCTATTCAGGCCCTCAATAATTTAAATGATGCCAACCTGCATTGGTGAAGATCTTCTTTGTTCAGTTTATTGATTCAAATGCTAATCTCTTCTAGAGACATCCTTACAGACATATCCAAGAATAATGTTTTACCAGCTATTCGAGCATTCCTTAGCTTAGTCAAGCTGACACTTAAAATTGACCATCACAGATTGCATTGAACACCTAGTGTCATGCCCTACAGAACACTCAAGATTCCCCAAGATTTCCTGTCAAAGGATTTGTATTGTCAAAACACTCCTTTTTCTCTTAAGTCAACCAGAATGCAAAACTTAGACTCTTCTCCTGTTTCCATAGGACAGCCACTCCAGGTATGCTATGATTTCTAGGAAGAAGACTTGGAGGGTTTTAGGGGAGGGTCTCTGCCATTCATATGGCCTTTACCATGTAGCTGCTGTTCTTCCCCACCCTGATGACTTCATTCCTCCTTTTGCATTCCTTATCAAGATAAGTAAGTCTTTACCGT